ACACAGAGTTCTCTGACCACGACAAATGACAAGCCAAAGGAATTAATCTCACAAAAAGAAACTTAAGAAGGCAAAGTTATCCAGCATATGTCTAACAGGATTTTAGAAATTCTGTACCAAGTTTTTTAAAGAAAACAAAAGCAGAGATCCACATTGTTTTTAGTTTAGAAAATAACATTCATTCTCATATTCCCTTTGTCTGTTAAATGAGCAAAATACTGAAATTTTTGCATGTATTAAAGCATTCAATTCATTAATGAAAAGAGGCAACGAAAACTGTCTTTAAATAGCAAAAACAAAAATTAAGCAAACCAAAACAAAGAAACTAAAACAAAAAAGCCTTTACGGTCTCTTAAAGCATCTAGCTGTGAATCCTATCTGTCTTTACTGAACAAGACTCTGAAGTCATAAAGTTCCAGAGACTCTCAACCACAAAGACACTTCCCCATTAAATATCCTGAGAGGTTAAAACAGGGATCAAGACATCAAATACAGAATTTTCCAATTAACCCAACTTTTTAAAATCTTCTTTCCATCACATTCATTCATTCATTCATTCATTCAATTAACCTAATTTTTACCAGCAGTTTCTGCTAGGAAGAATTTTTGAGACCATCTCCATAATGCAACTAAGGTTGGTTGAGTAATAGCTGCTAAGGTTTGTCTGAGACTGGCTTTAAAATACTTTAGTGGAAAAGAAAGAAAAGAGGACAGGGCTGAGGATTTAGCTCAGTGGTTCTGCAGTCTGCCTCGCAAGTGCAAGGTCCTGAGTTCGAGACCTGGTACCAAAAAAAAAAAAGAGGACAGGTAAAACAAATGCAGGAAAGCTTTATAATTTCTAAATGTAGAGGATGGGTGCATGGGAGTTTGCCATATTATTCTACTTTTGTTTGTGTTTGAGAATTTCCATAATAATATTTTTTTAAAAAGAGCACTAGGAATTCCCTGGACAGAGGACTAACATCTAGAATTGATAAAGGATTATAAAAAATTACCCCCCCAAATAAAAGACCCAATCAGAAAATGGGCAATGAAATGAATACTCACTTCTCAGGAAGTACAGTAGACCCTTGAGTTACGACCAGCCTCACATATGAACGACTTGGGTTATGATCAGAATTTTAGTCTTGCGACCAAAGTCTTGAGTTACAACCCAAATTCCAACTGGTTGTGCAGTTGTAAACAGACTCGCAATGCCAGAAAAGCGTATGTAAGCGTTGGTAAGTGTCAGTCTGAGCCTAGATGTGCCTGTTTGTGTTTGTGATTTTGGTCAGTGTTTTATTTAATTGTTATGATTATTGTTATTAAAATGGCTGCAAAAAGCTAGAAAAGAAGCTAAGGAAGGAAGGGACGGGAAGGAAAGAAATCACAATTGAAAAGAAGGAAATTGTGAAGAAATATGAGGGTGGCGTTTGTGTGACCTATCTTGTTAATATGTACAGCATGTCAAAATCCACCATCTCAACAATCTTACAGAGAAAAGAATTGTATAAGGAAGCTAGTGTGGCTAAAGGTGTCACTCAAATTAGTAAGTCATGATCAACAGTGTTAGGGTAGAAGGGCTATCATTAGTGTGAATAAATGAAAGGCAGATGGCAGATTATAGCCTGAGACTGTAATTTGTGAAAAAGCTATAAATGCAGATCTTGTAAAGGATAATCCATCAATGAGTGATAATGGTGAAACATTTTATGCCAGTAAGGGTGGTTTCACAATTTTAAAGTGAGAACTGGCGTTCATAGTGTAACTAGGCATGGTGAAACAGCCAGTGCTGATAAAAGGGCTACTGAAAACTACATACACCACTTCAAAATGATGACACAAAGAAATGGCTTTTGCTCTCATCAAGTTTTCAACTGTGAGGCCAGGGATTTAAATCAGTGGTTCTGCCACCTGCCTCACAAGCAAAGGGACCTAAGTTCAATCTCTGGTACCAAAACAAAACAAAACAAAACAAAACAAAAAAACAAGTTTTCAACTGTGATGGGAAATTGGCCTTTTCTGGAAGAAAATGCCCAAGAGAACATACATTACCTAGGAAGAGAAGAATGGCCAGGGCACAAGCCTATGAAGGATAGGGTAACCTTACTGTTATGTGCCAATGCAAGTGGTGACCTCAAGATAAAGCCTCTCTTGGTTTATGACTCTGAGACTCCTAGAGTGTTCAGAAAACATAAAGTCATGAAGAATAGGCTAGGGGTCATGTGGGGATCTAATCCAAAAGGCTGGGTAACAAGAGTACTTCTTGCATGGATCAGGGAGGCTTTCTGTCCTACTGTTAAGAAATAGCTAGAGGACAAAGGTTTACCTCTCAAGGCTTTCCACATCATGGGCAATGCTCCTGCTCATCCATGAGATTTGGAAGAAGAATTGGCTGAAGAATTCAAGGTCCTCCCACCTAATATAGATCCTCTACTGCAGCCTATGGACCAGCAGGTTATAGCTAACTTTAAGAAGCTAAACACCAAGGAACTGTTCCTGAAGTGTTCCCAGATGGTTTCAGATACAGATTTAACCCTTAAAGAGTTCTGGAAGGAACATTATAACATCCTTTCCTGTGTGGGCTTAATTGAGAAATCCTGGGCCAATGTCTCTCTGAGGACACTGAGATCTGCCTGGAAGAAAGTGTGGCCTAAAATTATACAGGAGGGACTTTGAAGGCTGTGTATTGGAACCTGAACCTTCATTTGACCCTGTGGTTGATGACACTGTCACTATAGCAGAGTTCACAGGCTTCCACGTAGAGGTTGAGGAACTGTTGGAGGAATATTCAGAGGAAATCTTTACACAGGAACTTCAGCAACTTCTGCCTGAGCAACAGAGAATGGCAGCTGAGGAGGAGGGGGAGTATTAACAATCAGTACAGCAAAGATCTTCTTCTGAAATAAAGGAAATCCTGAAAAAATGGAAAAGGCTACAAACATTTGTAGAGAAGACCCACCCAGACAGAGAAAAAGCCAACTGTTGCATTTTATAACTTTTTGGTGACTACACTAGAAAAATTATTGGTGTTTCTGGTAAATTATGCAAATTAAACAATGCTTTTTATTATGAAAAAGGAGTGCTTTGGGAAGTTTGGAACATATTATGGGTATTTCCATTATTTCTTATGGGAAAAATAGTCTTGACTTACAATAGTCTTGAGTTATAATCAGCCCTCGCAAACAAATTGAGTTCATAAGTCAAGGATCCACTGTACAGATGGCCAATAGATGAAAAATGCTCAATATCGCTGGCCATTTGAGAAATGAAAATTGAAACAACACTGAGATTCCATCTTACTCCAGAAAGAATGGCTATCATCAAGAAATCAACCAATAATAAATGCTGGTAAGGCTGTGGGGTTGGGGAAGGAACCGTTCTACATTGTTGGTAGGAATGTACACTAGTACAACTACTAAGGAAATCAGTATAGAGATATCTCAAAAACCTAAATAGAAATTCCATTTGACCCACTTACCTTCTCAAAACAGTTAAAAGTCATATTACAGTGATACATGCATACCTATGTTTACAGCAGTACAATTTATAATAGCTCAATCTTGGAAACAGTCTATATGCTCAACAATAGATGAATGGATAAAGAAAATGAGTTTACATACAATGAAGTACTACTCTGCCATAAAGATAAACTTGAGTCATTTGTAGGAAAATGGATATACACTGAGACTATGTTAAGTGAAATAAATCAGACACATGTTTAAATACTGCATGGTTTCTCCTATATGAGAAACACAAAATATAAAGAGAAAAATTTAAAAAACAACAGGATGTAGGGAGATCTTTTTTCAAATAGGAAGAGGAATAACAGTTGGAGGGAGAGAGAAAAGAAAAAGGGTAAAAATAAAGAATTGAAGAAAAAAATGGAAATAGAGCTTCTGCAGGTGGGAAGGGGAATAAGAGTTAGAGTGAGCCAGGAAGGATGGGAGGGGAAAGGGATGAAGAATTAAGATATTTTACATACACACTCCTCCATGATAAATGTAATCATTATGTACTGCAAACATGTACTAATAAAAAATTTTAAAAAATGAAATGAAAAAAAGAGCTTTAGGAATTATAGCTCATCATTAATATAGACCTCTAGGTCTAAGAACAGGATGGAAAGCTTTGGTGAAAGACAGTAAGGCCCAGCTGGGCGTGGTGGCACATGACTATAATCCTAGCACTCAGGAGGCTGAGGCACGAGAATTGCTAGGAGTTTGAGGCCAGCCTAGACTACATAACGAGACACCGTCTCCAAAAAAAAAAAAAAAATAAGGAAAAACAAAAAGCAAAATGAAACAAGACCTGAAAAACAGTAAGGCCCAATCTTAAATTTGGATCTCCTTACTAGATTTATAGGAACCATTTCACTCATCTTTCTCAAAGGAAGGAAATTATACAAACCTACACATTGTCCTAGGATATGGAATCTGTATCAACATAATAAATGTTTTAATGTTAGCCTAAAATTAGAGAACTCTACATGTTGGTAGTTGGTAGTCTTGTGCTGAACACAGAGGTTGAATTACATGCATTTGGATTCTGGTTTACCTTTTAGTTTGAGAGAAGAAGTAGAAGAGTATTAATTCCAAGAATTCAGATTCTTTTATTGTTTTTGTAGATCTTATGGAGATTTTTTCTTATGGAGATTGAATTCTGCCTTACTAGCTATAAAGGCAAAGATCATCTCCTTCAGAGATCATACACAAGCAGAATGAATCCTTCCCTCTGGCAAATAAACCACTCTCGTGCCCAGAGGATTCAAGATACATTGGGCATCTTCTCACCCTTGCTGGCCCCTTCTCCACTCCTTCTCTCCCCTTCAATACCTCAAATAGTCCTCTCTGCCTATGCTTTCTCCAATGGGCCTGTCATGACAGCCTATGCAATACACAAGGATCCAAAAAGCAAAGGCGTTTCCTAGGTCTATGGGGACAATCATTCTTGTTCCTATGCAAACTCTGGCAGGGGGAATTACAATTTTAACCTAAGTTAATGGAAATGGACTACAAATAAAAGAGGAGTCAGACAGCAATAAACTCTACTTTATTTTACATACATTTCTGATCATAAAGCCCATGCTAATACTGTTTTCAAATTTTGTTCTTAAACAAATTAAAGATTCAGTTTAAGAATTCATTCTATGAACCCTGATGCCTTGGAAACTAAATATGAGGTATTTGGTTTGGTTTTCTGTTCCAAACAGCAGAGGTTTGGGCAATCTATAGATACGGCCTAGCAAGTAAAACAATAGAAGTACACTGAAACATAAAACAGAAATACCATCTAGCAATAAGCTGCCATGACACCCTGAGATTCCTTATTGTAGCCAAAATAAATCCATCTACTTTGTTTCTAAAAGCAAAGGCCACTATGATTTTTCCCACATTTCTACACAGAAGAGACAAATGAGAACAAAGACGTGAGTGAATACAAGAAAGGTAGAGACTAAAATCATTCTTATTGCCCTTTTTTCCCACTCTAATAAAAAAATACTTATCGATGGCTGGCTATTTCCTTTGCTTTCAAGTTATCTTAGAAAAACATTTAGAATTGCAGCAATATCAGCATTTATAATTGAGTTTATGTAGGAGTACTGACAAGGCTCAAAATACCATGAAAGATCTTGAGAAAAGTTTTCACATAAAAAACTGAGCAATTAGGTTAGCCAGGCCCAAAATGATGATGAAAATGTGCAAAATTAATTTAGGCCATGTCAGACGTTCTTCCTGGTGGAGGGAAATTATATAGATGAGAGATGGATATATGAAAACAAAAGCCAGGCCACATGCTGCTCCTGAATATCTGTAAAATAAAAGCTTGGTGGTTAATATTCACCTTGCATTTCGCTTTTTAAAATTTATAATACAGGTAAATCTAGTACAATCTAAATCATTCTCAGACTCATACTGTAACAACATTACTTTTGATTTATTTGTTGCTGATATCTGGGTTTAAAACACTGTATTTGTTAACATAAAATATTATTTCCTGTTCATCTTTATAGCATTTTCTTGACAGAGTTTTTAATCCATCCTTCAAATCTCCATAGTTTCTCTGTGTCTCAATGATTGTGGCTACTTCCTCAGAAATATCTGGAGATGGGTTTCCTATCTTTGATCTTAATAAACTAAACTAATTACATATTCTGAGTTTGTAAGAGACCACTAGCATCTGTTTAAGAATGAGAACAGAGAGTGCCTCCATGGCATAATTATCAAAGATAACAAGAATATCTCAACATTAGCTGGTGACAGAGAAACAGGCAGTCTTCTCCCTTTCCCAGTTTTCTTGAGAAATAGCTTAACAGGAACTTGTAAGTCCATTATACTGAGTAAGCTTCAGATACTAATCTCTCTCATTTCGTTTTACTTTTTCAGGTAAGGGTGACTCGGCCCCGCTGTCTATATTAAAGAAGAGAAATCAAGTCATTCGAACCTCAGTTTCTCATGAGTATCTGAGGTCACAACTTTATTCTGACTCTTCTCAAACTGTCCTTTTTAAGGGAAAGGATATTAAGGGAAGAGCCATCTGACATCTAAACTCTTACATTCTTACTGCAATTGACACTAAAATATATTTTTAAATGGAAATGGATCAAGGAAGATAGGACATAGCTTTGAGATAAAAAGGACCTCCTAGGTACTTCCAAGAGTTATATATTAAAAATAATTTTTACTTTGGATAAAGAGAAAGGAAATGCAGTGGAATATAATGAGAGAAAGGGGGGGGAGTGAGGGAAAGAGGGAGAAAGAGGGAGGAAGAGAGAGGGATAAAGAGAGAGAAGGAGAGAGGGAGACAGGAGGGAGAAGAAGAGAAGGGGGAGGGGGAGAGGAAGAGAAGGGGGAGGGGAAGAGGGAGAAGGAGAGAGAGGGAGACAGAGGAGAGAGAAACTGAAAGAAAAGGAGAGGAGAGGGAGACAGAGAGAAGGAAAGGGAGAGAGACAGAAAGACAGAGAGGGAGAAGGAGAGACTGGAGGGGGAGGAGGAGGGGAGGGAGAGGGGAGGGGAGGGGAGGAGGAGAGGCGACTGAGGCTAAGGGATAATGGGGCTTTCTAGAGTCAGTTCTCCATCAGAATAAACAGAAATGGAATTTTATGAGCATCTCTACTGATACCAGGGAACTACATTTGAACATTACAAGGAATTTCATATGGGAATTTCATATAATTAAAACAGTAACAATGACAACAGCAACACAAAAAGCGTGAAAATAAAGACCAATATACAAAGGGGTACAATTTCTTACTGGCAGTACCTTATGATTCCTCCTATGTTTGGGTAGAAAGCGGCCATGATCACGCCAGCTCCCACAATAATTATATTAAGAATGAGCACGTGGAAAATGCTAAAAGATGAGAAAAGAGTTTAAAGGAAAGAAAAAAATATAAAATAGGCACATTGTAAGTATTACTATGAGATTTTAATTTATTTTTAATATCTTTAAAATGTACACTTAAGTTTGCCACTAAAATCATAGCAAAAACAGGAGGCAATAATAGTACTCAAGTCTGATCATGAGACAGTGAAACTGGCCTTTTAATGCAATTATATAAGTAGACTAAATACAATAGGCACAAAATGGTACTATATACATGAGAATTCACATTCTCTGATCTGTAATTCCTCCTGGACTATCCTGAGAACATAACTCAAACCATGAAGAAAAGCTATTAACCTAAAGATATTTATGGAAAAACAGAAGAATTCTAGGAACAGTGAGGCAATAATTTACCTGAAAGAATACAGTAAAACTTATTAAACCTATCATTATTACCTAAATGGTAAAAGAAAATCATCTAAGTACTTTGGAAAGAAGCTAACAAGATACTCAGCATGTGAGAAAATCCAAAACCATTTGAAAAACATATCAGAAGGAAATACACTTTTGCAGTAGTGATTACATTATGATTTGGGATTTCAGGTAATAGTTCTTCTTTTCTATACTTAACAATTTTTTGTAAAGTATTTATCTTATATTTATAATAAAAAATAATTTTATATTAAGGGAAAGGCAAAATGGACAGGTTTTATTTTTCAGACTGACTCAAAGCTATTCACTATTTACCATGAGTAGAATATCTGCTAAACATTTTAACTACATTTTAGTAATTCAAGGTTTGGGAATCAATTTTGGATAGAAATAAATGTAAATAGATAAATAAATAAAAAAGATAAATAAATGTAAATAAACACTGATGCAAGAAATAATTCCATTTCCCCCCAAAATGATTTTCAAAAGCTAAATGTCTATGTTAAAGTAACCTTTGTGCCCAAATTATCAAAGGATACTTAAAACCAGGTAAAGATGAAAGGAAATTAAAAATAAAATTATACAAATAAGCAGTTGGTTATACATCCTAATAAATTACAGAGATACTAGCCTTCAAGATCTTACTATTTATCCAGTAATTCCAACTTTAAAATTAATTCAGAATTTTAGACACTGTGGGGCCTTCATTACATCTGTATTATAAAAGAAAAAAACTTTATGTACTTTCCAAAGTAATTGTTCTCAAAATAGGAGCACGAAGCCCAGGGGTTTCTCAATATCCTTTTGAGAAGTCTTTGAGATAAACATTATTCTCATAATAATATGACATAATTTACTTGGCAAAAGCAGTGGTGGGTAAAACTGCTGATCCCTTATTATGGATAGACACAACTGCACTTATCTGTACTATGTAACATATTCTCTACTGCAAAACACTCTCAAAAAAAATTTTTTTTTTTTTGGTACTGGGGATCGAACTCAGGACCTTGAGCTTACGAGGCAGGCACCAGAACCACTGAGCTAAATCCCCAGCCCCTAAAAACAGATTTTTTAAATTAAAAAATATCCCTGAAGGTTGGGGTACAGCTCAATGGTAAGAGTGTGCTTAGCATACGCGAGGCCCTAGGTGCAATCTCCAGCACCATGAATACATACACAAAAGTCCCTAATAAAGTAGTAAAACTTCGTTTTGCTAAATTTTATGTTTTGAATATACATCTTTTTAACATTCTATGTGATCAAAAAGGAAATACTCAATAAAGGACATGCACAGTGAGGTACACTGGGTATCTTGAGGAAAAGCACTTGAGCAGCTCAGCTGGAGGCCAATCTAACAATAATATATACATGCTTTATTTTTACTTGAAATGTCGACAAGCAATGATCATCAAAACGGGTGTTTCGCAGACATTTTATTTTTTTCTTTCTTTTCTTTTCTCTTTTTTGGGTCTCGCTATGTAGTTCAGGCTGGCCTTGAACCCATAGCAATACTCCTGCCTCAGCTTCCAGAGTGCTGGAATTACAGGCATGTGCCACCAGGCTTAGCTGCCATTTTCTTTAAAATAAGCTTGTCCCTTCAAGGAAAATCACTGGCAGAATTTGTTGCCAATGATAACATTTGAGCTTTCAAATAAAAACTAGAATTTTGGAGAACTTACATTTGCTACCCTCCCTTGATATTTTCCCATACTCAAAAACTTTTACAAAGAAATTGGTGGTATAATATTAATGAATGTAGGATCTGATGATGTACAATGAAGTGTGTTAACATTTGGAAGATCTAAGAAATCAGTGAACCAATACTGACCATACATGATGTTACAAAATAACGCATGGGGGTAAAAGAACCAAAATGTAAGACGGACCAATAGGTTTGCAAACAACTTTCACATTATATATACTGTGACTATTGAGAAACTACTAGTTGTCAAGTTTTGGCATGGTGTCAGAAAATAATATCTGCACTTATCTGAAAGTGCTGTTAAAGGTACCCTTTCTTTTTTTTCTGATGCTGGTTTTTTTTAAAAAACCTATTTAGATGACAACAACATAGAATAATAGCCAATACAAAAACAGAGAGGAGAACCTAATTTTCTACTAGAAAAGCAGACATTAAGAGTTTTAAATGAAAAACAGTTTTTTGGCAGAAGTTATTTTTCACAAAAATTTTATTCATGTAAAAAAGTAATTTTTTGTTTTAAAGACAGGGTCTTGTTGTCTTACCTATACTGCCCAGGATGTCTTGAATTCAAGATTTTCCTGTTCCAGGCTCCCGAGTACCTATACGTATGTGCCAATGTGCCTGGCTCTATTTTTGATTTTTAAAGAAATTAATAACTTTAAAATTCTCAGTTTTAATTTCTCATATGTTAAATACTTATAGGTGTACCTGCAAAAACTAAGTCTTGGGGTGTTGTCAATAAATTTAAAGAGCAAAAGGGGACTAAAACTTATGCTCCAAGATAATGTCAAGTACGGTATTTGTAACAATAGGATAAATGATAGTGTGAAGAAATACAGTGTAAACACAAAAGGGAAATTCTATTTTCCAAAAAGAAAAAATATTCTAACAGCCATCTCTGCAAAATAAAGATAGAAAATAGGAGCAATGCATTTGCCTAGAATTTTTTCATCTATGACTTCACTGAATTTATTTTGGTCAATACAAATATAGCACAGACCATAAATACAACAGGAATCTTACATTTACTGAACTCCAATCTTCTGGATTAGAATCGTATCAATGCTAGTTTAACTGTATCATTTGTTGCTATTATCAGTGCAGGAGACCTGGCAACTTAATTTTTGCTTTGTTTTCAGGCCAACATGCTTATAGATAAATTGACTGAGGGGACAATGTCAACTCATTTCAAACAAGAAGTGATCAAGACCACTTGTTTAGCTGGTTATTGTAAATGCAATGTTTCCCACAAATTCAAAAGTTTTCTTCCTTTTGTGTAATTTATTCCCAATAAAACAGGATTAGTTAGTTTTTCCAAGGGTGAACATACAATAAGACTAAATTTAAAAACAGGAATCAAACAAGCTTTCTTGAGGAAGCTTCACAGAAAGCCTGAGACATACGCAGAAAGTTCTCTTAGGTGAAGGTAACTAGCTTTGAACAGAGTTCCAAAGGGACACACAATTCCTCAATGCTCAGGATAATTACCACAGGAATTTAAACTTGTTACATATCAAATAAGAATTTAAACTCATTATAAATCTCACTTTCACTTTGAAACAACTGACCACTTATTTAAAAATGCACAAATGTTAATAAACACACAAGTATTAATGACCAATAATTAAAAGTGTTGTTTTTCAGGTAATTTACATGTCAACACAGGTACTAAATACTATAAAATTCTTATGGTGAATAAAAATACAGCACAGAGCATAAATACAACAGGAGTCTTATATTTACTGAACTCCAACACAGGTGTATATGTGTATATGTGTAGATTAACAGCAATCAAATAAGATAGATAAAACTGGTATTAGAGCTAACTGAGTACACTGGAAGGATTAAACTTAATCATTCTGGATAAGGGAGTGGCTTCTATATTTAAAGCTCTTCTGGGAAAGGGACATGAGTGATCTATCCTTAGTAACTATTTTCATTAGGTAAATTTTTATAATAAAAGAATCAGTCATACTTTAAACTGACCTGTTTGCATAGTCATTTGTTGCTTGGCACATCTTGCTGGTCAAGAGAAGAGCCCTTACCTAGGATAAATGTCACCGAAGATATGGCCCAACAGCTGGACACGAGCCAAGTAGCCTAAGAGCGGGTAGACAGTCATCATCTGGAACAGCAGAAATATCCTTGCAATGAAGGACAGGATGTCACTGCTAGGGAAGTTATCTAAAAAATTCTAAATCAAGAAAGATAATGAGGTAATGTTAAATTTCAAACTTAATATAAGATTCATAAAATGGAATACTACTACTTATTTTGAACACAGGTGGTATTCATGTGGTATGTGAACTGGTGCCCGTTAACAAACTGCTTGTTATTTTTCAATGAAGTACAGTAATTGAAAATAAGTGTTTACAAACTTTTAAGGAAATTTAATACTATGTTTTTATTCTATTTCATAAAAGTACCAGGCTGCAACTGATTTAACATTAAAACAACAGAGGGCCGGGGATTTAGCTCAGTGGTTCCACTGCCTGCCCTGCAAACCCAAGGACCCGAGTTTAATCCCTGGTACCAAAAAAAAGACAACAAAGAAAACTTTTTTTTTAACCACAGATAGACCAAGAAGCACTGCCCTATAAGGTTCAAGCATGACACCCAAGTTTGTTTTTAATATTCTTAAATGGCAAATTAAAATCAATGCTATTTTATCCTTACTAGCTCTCTTGCTTTTCTTCCTCTGAAGTACTACAGCACTTTCAAAATAAAGATTACAGAATAAGGTAAGATTTTATCTATCACCTAGTATTATCATTGTATAGCCTACCACTAAAAAGGATTTACTGCTATATTTTTTCATAATCTTTTTCTTTGTTTTAATTTGGTACATATGTTTTAAAAAAGTTAATTGCTCAGAATTTTAAAGCCAGGCATGGTCACATATACCTGTAATCCCAGAACTTGGTAGGCTGAGGGAGGAGGAGATGAGTTTGAGGTCAGTTTGGGTTACCTAGTGAGTTTAAAACCAGCCTGAACTATGTAGCAGGACTGTCTCAGGAAACTAAAACCAAAACCAAAACCAAATCCAAGGGGCTGGGGATTTAGCTCAGTGGTTTCATCGCCTGTTGTGCAAGCACAAGGACCCGAGTTCCATCCCCGGTACCAAAAAAAACAAAAACAAAAAACCAAATCCAAACAAAACCAAAAACAAAACAAAAAATAAACAAGCCAAGACCAGCCCCTTTCCTTTCTAAGGTGCAAGAACCTTCTTTAGTGGTGGCACACACCTGTAATACCAGCACTTGGGAGGCTGAGGCAGGAGGATTGCCATGAATTTGAGGCAATCATGAACAACACAGTGAGATTCTGCCTCAAAAGACTAAAATAAAATTTTTTTTTCCCCTTTCCAATACATTACCCCAAGCAAGTGAACTTTATATAGGATTGTTCATATCAGGGAAATTCTCAGCAAACATTTGGCTGCCAAAGAACTAGAATCAAGAGAACAAGAACATTTCAAACTATCATAACAGCAATAATTTCTTTCTCTTATACAGATGAGAATACTATTAATATTATTCTGCTGAAATAAACCTTATAATTCTGCTTAAATCATATTATATACTGTACTCAGAGCAATTTCTTTTTTCAATATTTTATTTTTATTGGTACACATTTGCAGTACATAATGATTACATTTTCATGTGGAACTGTTATCTGTACATAACACATCTTCATTCTTCTTTTCATCCCTTCCCCTCCTCTCCCTCCCCTCTCCTTTCATCTCTTGGTCCCCTTCTCTTTTGCAGAAGATCTAGCTCCCTGTTTCCTATTACAATATTTACCCATGGCAGTTTCTTCTGACTAGAAAAATCACCTGTGAAATATTGTTTTTCATTAGAAAGTTTTCAGTCACATTAGATACCATATTATTCCCAAGTTTTTGATTAATTAAATACAAATATTTTACTTATGGGAACTTTTCTTGTAAAATATTTTCTTTGCAGTATTGGGGATTGAGCCTGGAGCCTTCACACTAAACTATACAACGAGCCCTTTTAAAAATTCTTTTTGAAGTAGAGTCTTGTTAGCTTTTGAAGTTGCCCAGACTGGGCTCGAACTTGGGATCCCCACTCCTGCCCCCAGCCTCCCAGAGTGCTAGGCTTATAAGCATGTGACACCACACCCAGCAAGATTTTTCTTTTATATTCATTCTCCCCTTCCCATTCTTGTCTGTCTGTTTCTCTCATTTTTGTTTCAAGACATGTTCTCGCTCTGCAGTACAGGGTGGTATGGAATTTGCTATGGTGCCCAGGATGACCCCAAACTTGAGACCCATCTGCCTCAGTCTCCCAAGTGCTGAGATTACAGGATTGTGCCACCATACTTGGCTGTGCCCCTCTTTTTAGCAGCCAAACACTGTCTTTGTTTTGCTGCCTGCTACTCAGTATCTAAGTGGGAATCAGATCTGTTGTTAGAGATGAACAGGCAATAGTTTATCCAGGGCATTTTCAGATCTAGACTTTGGAAAATAAGGGAGTTTAGTGGATTTACTGTGGATGTTTTTTAAATTCATGAGACTTCCTGGTTAATTGTTCTCTACACAAAGAGAAATATACATACACGACACTAGTCATTTATTTGCGCACACAGGTGCCTAGTATTCAGAGTACATCTAAAATTCAAATGATTTATGTATTATAAGATTTAATAGAAAAGGAAACAATCTCAGAAAGGTTGGGAAAGGTGCCAAAATTCATGCACTTCAAATAATGCTAGACATGTATTCAAATCCAGGCCTGTCTGCTATTACATCTTGCTACTGTATCATCCTACCTACTATTCATACATAAAGTTACAAATGATCCCACAGAGAGGGTACAAAGTGCCTTACCTGCTCAATGCAATCTTTGGATAATGGAGGTGAAGGAAATGAAGCAAAAACCAGGACTCCAATATAAAGGTAAGTTAATGTCACCAGCATATAAGCAATGCATAGGTCTCTCACCTGTAAATACAAAATAAAGTTCCTACAATATGAAGAAATTTGCAGCAAGTCTATTTAAATACACTAAATAAGACTGAAAATTATAAAATTTATCTTTTTACCCCTGTATATCCTTTCTAGCCAATCTAGTCACAGAAAATAACTAAAACAAAATCCACATACTTTACAATTAGCATGTCAATTTTTTTAAACTAGTCTGAAGTATGTAGACTAAGCTACCTGTTGGCAGACTTAGGAAGCTATCATAAACTGTGGTTTAACATGACTGAAATTCTGACTTAATTCCAAAAGGTAATTTATCAAATTATAAAATATTTAACTACAATAATAAGGCTAAGGGACAACAAGAAAGTAAGTATAAGCCACCTTCAGTAGGACCTGTGAATTTTAAAAAATTTCTTTCTTTGGTAAAGAACCTATATACCTTTAGTTCATCAAAGTATACCTAGACCACAAGGGAATAGAACACATAAAAACATATTTAATAAAGGAGAGCTAGTTAAAGAGCACTAAACAAGTTAAGTGTTAAGGACAAGCTTAATAAACCTAAACAGTAAACAAGGAAATCAAAAGGCAGCTGTTCAAATAGCTCTACCATGTTATTACTGGAATCAGTAAACAAACACAGAACATTAAATACAGTGGATTGCTTCTGTCCACTGTTGTTCCACCCTCCCACACTCCAAGATACTTAATGCAGTCAGCTGTCAGATCCAAGCACAACAGATTCCACAGCTTGCAGACTGTCTCCATCAACACTAAAGATATAGTCAAACAATTTAGCATAACTAAATTGTGGCAATAAGCCTATTCATTTTTCACTTTAAACACAGATTACTTTGAAAGCTAAGAAAATAGATTAAAAAATTATATACAAAATTTTTTTTTAGTTTGATGAGAGAATGAGAATGTTTGGACATTTGGATTAGGAAACATTTCTAATTTTCTGGATAATTTTTCTCCCTAATTGGGGTAAAGCAATAATAGTCAAATTTTATAAACTTGAACTGCTATAAATTCAGTTAAAAAGAAAGTAACAAAATTTGACAAATCTTTGTCAGGACCAGCTTGAAAACAAACCAGGGATTCCATACCCTAAATTGGATGGATAGACTCATGGAGCTGAAGGCTTATGTAGATTGGTTCCAGCTCTGTGGAAGAGCTTATTGTTCAGGGTTGAGGAAGGGAAGATGACCAAACCTCTGGGGAGAAGTCTCAAAATTTTTCCTCTTTAATTCCAGCTCCAGGGCCTTGGTAAACTAGACTTCAGTTATCCATAGACTGGCCTTAAACTCTTGTGTGAGAGAACAGAAATGAGCCAGACAACACCTAGTTCCTATCAATGAGTAGTAATCTTCCATTATGATGTTTGAAAGTCATTCTACCCTCAACCTACTGAAGCCACTTAAGAACAGAGGTGCCTTTGTTAAAAAAAAGAAAATCTTAGGAGGCAAAACAGTTGTGCCAAACAGAGATATATACTATAAAAGAAGAGGACAGCCACCATTCCATGGACAGACTTTTAATTTATTTTATTTTATTTTTGGTACCAGGGATGGAACTCTGGTCCTTGTGCTTATGCAGCAGGCGGCCAAACCACTGAGCTAAAACCCCGGCTCAGACTTTTAATTTATATACTACCCAGTCATGACCTTATTTTGGTCTGACTTCCTGCAAAAAAGTGTACTTTAGAGTACACTTTGGGGGAAACCTAATGAAGATGCAAAGATGCAAAGGCTATGGTACAAGGGCTTCCCAGTAAGACAGTTACCTCTTCTGCTTCCCTGTTCTCATGGTACTGCATACATATCATAAATATAGCAACTACTACACTGTATTGTAACTATCATTAATTTTTATTATAAAAGCAACCCATGTTAACAGTACAAAGGTTATCAAGTGGGCATAAAATGTCCTCTGACCCTCAAAAAATAGCCAAGTTTAATAGTTCTTATATAATTTTTTGGAGACAGGGTCTCACTATATAGTTCACGCTGGCCTTGAACTCACTGTGATTCTCCTGCCTCAGTCTCTTAAGTGCTGGGATTGCAGGTATGCACCACTATACTCAGCTATTGGTATTTTAGCTTGGCCCGAACCACTTTACTGTGAGATTCTGAAGACAGGGACTTCTTTTTTTTTTCTGTTCAGATTTTATTTGAAATCTAATTCAAACTGTGAAAGCTACAAAAGGGGAAAAGACATCTGCATTATCTTTGCTAAGTCACAATATTCTAAAACAAAATACTACTACTGCCAGCAGATCCATTATACACATTTCTGATGAAATTCATTATTACAGTAAAAATTTCATCTTGAGAAACAGCCACAATGAAAGTAATTTATACAATATAAAAAATGACAGGTCTACAGATGCAGTTACTCATGAGTTTACACATGCATTCACCAACAAACAAAAAACCCCCCAGGAATACTCTTTCATTTGATTTTTTTGGTTTTGTTGGCACAAACAAAATCGCATTTCCAATAAGGGACAGCATCTTAAAAATGGTTGTCAGTGTTTGTTTTTCTTTGACTTTTTATGAGACTTGTGTGGAGATCGAGACTGGGATCTGGATTTCTTCCCTGATTTTTTAGGGGATCTACACCGTGACCACATAGACCTCTTAGGTGTCCTTGAACCAGATGGTGATCTTTTGGCTTTTTTGCTAACATCTCTAAGAGAATCTCTGTGAGATGACCTGGACTGTGATCTTTCTTTATGAGATCTTTCTGAATGTTCTGATCGCTCCGATTTTGGTGATGGTGATTTCACTTGTCCACCACTGCTACTGAGAGATGGGCTGGGGGATGTACTGTGCCGTCTTTTCCTTTCCTTCCTTGTTGGAGTACATTCACCTTTTTCCTTGTCTTTGGATCGAGATTCCAATTTTTCTTTATCATTCTTGTCTCTTTTTCATTCTCTAATTCTTTCTCTTTTCTTCGTTGAAGAAGTTTATCTCTGTAGTGCTCAACTTGCTCTTGGAAACTTTGGCCTGATTTTTTAGGGTTTTTTCCAGATACCAATTCATCCTGAAACTTCATAACTTTGAGCTCAATTTCACGAAGTTTTGCTCGTTTTTCCTTACTCATTTCTGAGTACTTAGAGAAATTGGACTCAGTCATTTGTTCGATTGGATTAGAGTACAAATGATGTTCTTCAGATTTGGAACTTTTGAGTATCTTCTTCATCTTCACTTCTTCTTGATTTTGATTTGCTTCTTTTTCCAATTCTTCATGCTGGTCAAATAACTCCCACTTAGAAGTTGTTACAGCCTGTGCTTCCAATTCAGATTCATCTACAGCTTCCCATTTTGATGGAGCAACTTTAAATATAGGCTCATTCTTCTTTGAGTCTTCAGTTGCATCCAAAGGCACTCTATCCAGATCATCATCAAGACTTTTTATAGGAACACCATTGAGATCATCAGTGGGAGTACTATCAATGGGAATCCCATCCACATCCTTCAGAGGTGCACCATCAAGCTCTTCCTCAATGGGAGCACCATCAAGATCATCTGGTACATCCTGTTTCCTTTTCTTCAATAATATTTACAAGTCCTAAGAAAATATTTTATAGTTTGATCAAAAATGGTTCTGGATAAATTGCCCAATCTTCCCAGGCTCTGAAGCAGGCCATTACTCATTGCTTAAAATTTTCAGATTGTAAATGGCCTTGAATTGTATGATATGTAGCATTGAGGTCAGAAAATATGACATAACTCTGTTTCAAAAATTTTTCTATAATATGAAGCATTGGCAACTTTGGCTGAAGAGTTGTACAAAACATCAGAAACCAAATATAATCTGGCAATCTTTTTAGGAAGAGGTGTCTTTAAGATAGACAATGACTCAGTAATGCAATCTACTATATCTTCAGCAGCTTCAGCATTATTAAGACAGAAAACCACTGCATTTCCAATATCATTTTTCCTTGGAGTCAATCCTCGCAAGATTTCTAATTTGTCCCTCTGTTCTTCCTTAAGTGCTCCCTTTTTACTAGGTTCCTCTACAAAAGCTTCTGTTTCCTGTTCTTCTGACATTCCATGAAGGTATGGGTTTAATGGTGGTGGCCTCCAAAAAGATCCATTTTTGAACATACAAAAATCCTGTTCGCCATTTAGTTAGAGAATCTTCCCGCAGAATAGAATAAAGCTTCCACCTGTAGTAAACATGGGCTAGTGTCTGGTTTTCAAATAAGAACCTGAACACAGGATTGTTGATTTCTCTGTTCATAATCATAGCTTCAAACACTGGCCCTTCACTTACCACAAACTATCATTTGATGTATCAGGGCGAGCAAATTCCTTTCTGTTGGGATAACCACTCTGACTATGGCTTGCGACAGTCTTCTCAAAATCCTCATTTTTAAGTGGTGGTAACATCGGAGCATTGGGATTTTTTTAAGTGCTCTCTAGGCTGCGAATTAAAAGGCGGTCCAGAAGGAGGTGGAGGAAGCGTATGTTCCATCATAGAAGGAGGAATGTATATTGGTTGTGGAGGAATCGGTACGGCTTTACTCCAGCCTAACTTCATTTCAAAAGACATAATCATTTTTCCATTTAAATTTTTTAAAGCTCTTTCAGCATCTCGCCTATTCATAAAAGCCACAAAGCCACAATTTCTCTCTTTTGCTCTTTCTTCATCAGTTCTAGGCCACATTATTTTCACACTAGCCAATGGCCCAAATCTTCCAAATTCTTGGCACAGCATTTCTTCATTCATCTGTGGATTAATGTTTCCAAGGTGTAAGTTAATAGTACTTGGCTCTCCTACATCATGTGAGCCAGGTGCATAATCATCAAGAACGGATGATCTATTTCTTTTTGAAGGTGCATCCATAGAACGACGCTGACCATCAGAATCTGACTGAGGGTGAAATCGACTTAACCTGCCTTTTGTTTTATGTCTCTCATCACGCTCTTGAATTTGTTTTAATTCTTCTTTGAAGAGTTCTAAATTGATTTTTTTCTTTTTCTTTCTCCCCTTTCTTCAGTGGAGGTTTTTTGGTTTCTATCACCAGAAGAGATGGTGGTCTTTCATTGGATGACTGATTTGGAGGATTTTTTTGATCTGTAAATCTTGAAGATGGCTTATAGATTTTACCTCTTTTTTCATCTGTTTCATGTTCTTCTTTAGCTGCTTTAACAACACCTCCTCACACAGAAGTTTTTACTTTATTACCATCACTTCCTTCAAAAGCAGCAAGAAATTCCTCATAAATCTCAGCAGCTGCCTTTTCATCTTCCTTTTTCTTTAATTCCTCTTGTTCCTTCTTACTTAAAGTTCGCTTAGCTGTACTCATTTTTCCAATACTGAATGCTTTAAGTTTGTTTTTCAGAAGAGGTCTTGAAAGATTCTGATGAGGAGAATCACAAAGGTTTTCACGGGCACTTTCATTCCTGTAATTATGTTTTCTTGGGCTCTTAGGTTGTGTCCGACTTGGCATATCACTATCTGAAGGTCCAGATGCATCCATATGTGCATCTGAAGATCCAGATGAATGAACATCTGATGATCTGGTCTTAGAACTGGCCTTCTGAGATCCGCCTGGCATTTTGTCCAACATCTTCTGAAGACAGGGACTTTAGCTTTTTCATCTTTCTATCCCCAATACCCAGGATAACACCTGGCACATAGAAGAAACTCAGTAAGTGTGATAAATATAATAAACACACTGGTTTAATTTATTAACTGCTTCTAGGTCCTGGGCCCTGCGCTAAGCATATTATACATGATATTTTATTTAATCCTCATAACAACCTTATAATGTAGATACAGTCAATTTCTTCACTTCATAGATAAGCAATCTAAGGATAGGAAAGTTACAAAACTTGTTCATGGTTACAATATGAACAGCTAATGAAGCCAATATTTCTTTTTTTTTTTTTTAGTACCAGGGATTGAACTCAGGACCCTGTGCTTGTGAGGCAGGCACTGGAACCACTGAGCTAAATCCCCGGCCCTGAAGCCAATATTTCAATCAAGGTCTTTCTGGTTCCAAATTGCATGCCCTCAGCTACAGTGATGGAGAGCTTACCAGTCTGCAGCACACTTATGTCACAGTTCATAAACAGCAAGGATGAAAAATGAAAGAGGCAACAATCTTTGAGTAACAGAGTATGTAACAGAACACATAAAAAGCTACACGAGAAATACAGTACTAAAATCAGAAAAGCTCTATTTCACAGTATTCTACTATATATTCAGTAAAACTGGATTAGGAGATGCCTATCAGTTTTCATCTGAAAATACTCTAATGAACAGAAATGATGATCTTATTATAAAAGCAGCTGAGGTTTAGTGTGATCTGGGAAATATGCCACCTCTGAATAGCATGCACATATGTGAGACTTGCTATTCTTTGGCTCAAACCCAAGCCATCATTGTACTATGACTCAACATATGGCCTCCTGACATTCCATTTAATAGAAAAGGGTAGAAAAAACTATCATGTAGAAAGTGAGACTCAAAGTAAAAATATATATGTAAAAGGAGACACATATTACCATGAACTGGTAATATATCAAGAAACCTCTACCAATAAGGTAATGTACTCTGTTTCACGAATAAGTGATGGCTGGCAGGCCTGATGGTAGGTTCTAATCAAACACAGTGAAGAAATATCAAGAGGTTAATCCACATTTTCATGTAGTTATAGGCACTATTATGATGACAATGAAGGAAGTGGATGATCTTCAACCCTCTCCTCCAAGTTATACAAATAAAAAATTATATTTATTGAAAAAATGCACAAATATTAAGTTAAACTTGAAAAATCAGGAAAATCTGATTAGTATACCTGTTTAGGAGTCTTATTTCTTTCTTCACAGATGTCTTTAGATCCAAGACCAACAGTTATACAGAAGAGGAGGCTTTTCTATTCCTTCCTTTTCTTTTCTACTTTCATAACTTTGTTTTCTGAGTTTGGAATGACTAACTCAACATTAACATTATGAATTCAGAGTCCTTGGTAGGCCTCTCATTTTCTGACTTTAATGCCCCCCAAATTAACAGGATTTCCATAAGTCAAAGAAATAAAACTTACTGAAAGGTACAATCATTAGATAATTTAAATGACAAAGCTTTTCTCAGAATATAGTATCCATTTAGCTTGATTTATGATAACATAAGCCAATATCAACATAATTACAAGGACAAAATATATATACTTATATAAAGTATTTAGAATGTTGCTGACACATAGTACTTCATAAATGTTAGTTTTCTCATTAATAATTATTAATATTTTAAGAAGTTAACATGAAGCACCGCTGTTTTTTTGAAGGCTAGATCATCACTTCATATCCTAGTTTTAATTAAGACAGCAATATCATCTATTTAAACATTTGCCTTGGAGCTTTTGTTTTAAAACATTTTCCACAAGTGACAAAGTTGAACCACCACTTCTTTATTCTAACTTTGCTTCATTTCTATCATTTCCTCCTTTATGCTTTCAATATTGTGAAATACCTGAGAATTCTTTTAATGAGAAGTTTTCTGACAGTGTTACTTTCTCTGGAATGTCTTCCTTCTTGTCATCACAACCCTTTCAAAGTTCATGAAGATAGGTTCACTTTCCCTGAATTCCTCTTGCTGCATGTCTAGAGTCTTTTCAATGGCAGTATTGTTAACATTTCCACAATCAGCCATTTCTTTTATAACTTCCCTTATGTTCTATTTAAATTTCATTTTCAACTTTATTGCTCTGTTTCATCGTTGTATTTTCACCTTTGCCAATTCCTTCTTTCAATTATCATTGTTTATAAAAATAGCATGTATGCTTATCACTGGCAAAGAGGCAGCACAACCGCCTGCTTTGAAGGCTTTATGTAAAGTGAACAACAAGCACAGTAACTAATCACTAATAGACTTTGAAAGAAGTGACATGATTGGTCATTAACCATAATATGTACCTGTTAGGCCCATGTTGATTTGTGAAATGAAAAGCTAGCAGCTACTACTTTATGAAAGTACTCATAGCTCAAACCCTGTGGTAACTGAAATTAGTCTCACACTGATGGGATACTGATACAATTTAAACCTTAGCAACTGAAATTTTAAATGTAGGAACCATGCAATGTGAGAAATGACTGCAATTTAATTATTTTGAGGCAATTTTCTCATAAGATAAACTAAATACAAGCATGAAAAAATATGTATGCGTGGTTAAGACTGAAACATGAGAAGGTATGGGCCTGTACTCCCAGCATTCTGGGATCTGTCTGTCTGTTTATCTATCATGATATTGGGGTTTAAATCTATCTATCTATCTATCTATCTATCTATCTATCTATCTATCTATCTATCGCGATATTGGGGTTTAAACCCAAGGCCTTTACACTGAGTTACATCCTCAGACTTTTTTTCATTTTTTAAAATTTTGAGACAGGATCTCCCTAAGTTGCTAAATTGCTCTGGCTGGGCTTGAATGTGTGATCCTCCTGCTTTAGCTTACCAGAGTGCTGGGATAACAGGAGTGCATGTACCTCCACCCCCAGCCCATTTGTTTATTTATTGTCTAAGGCTGCTTTCATGCCACAGCAGTAGAGTCAGGTATTTGTAATAAGACCATACGGACCAGAAAGTCCAAATATTTACAGTCTGAACATTCACAGAAAGTTTGCTGACTACTACTCCATGGTTCAAACTTAAAAACTAAGATCATGCAACAAAGTGTATAACTCTCCTCCAAATATAAAGGGCCTCAAATACTGACTTAGAAAGTCTATCCTCAGGAGGTACAGAAGTTTACTCACATTGTTTTCTTGATTCTTATTGTTTTTCAGGAGTGTAATAATACAATTATGAATAAAGAAAGCAAGGGTAAGAACTCCAGTCAGCTGTGGAAACTGAAATCTTATCTCTAGGAGAAAAAAAGAGACAAAAATGTTGAAATTAACAAGGAGAAAATGAGTATTAGCAGCCATAAAAAAAACTAGTTGTCTTTACTTTGTTATGGAAGTAAGATTAAAATACTTTTATGTAGTTCTTCAAGGTCAGTGTTATACTTGCACAAATCACTTAATAGGGAAAGAAAAAGAATCAAGAAATCGGTATCCAGGACCGGGTATTTAGCTCAGTGGTTTTGCCGCCTGTTGCACAAGCACAAGGACCCAAGTTCGATCCCCAGTACCAAAAAAAACCAACCAAACAAACAAACAAATAAAATAAATTGCTATCATGTGTAGGTTCTTTATATCAGTAGTTCCCTTTTTTTTTTTTTGGTACTGGGGATTGAACTCAGGACCTTGCACTTGTGAGGTAGGCAGCAGCACCACTGAGCTAAATCCCTGGCCCAACAATTCCCTTTTGATGTCACACAAACAGTATGTGGCACAGTAGAAGTGTCAATTTTAGGGTCTGACTTTCTTTCTTCTTTCTTTTCTTTTCCTTTGTCTTTTCTTTCTTTTTCCTTCCTTCTCTTTCTTCTTTCTTTCTCTCTCCCTTTCTTTCTTTTCTTTCTTCCTTCTCTTTCTATGTAGTTTGGGTTGGCTTTGAACTTACAGTGATCCTTCCCACCTCAGCCTCTCAAGTGCTGGGGTTATACTCATGCGCCACCACACACAGCTTAGGGTCTGATTTTAAAGTTCTACATTTTTTCTAAAACCTGAATTGCCAGAAAAGTCTCTCCAGAAAAGGAACTGTGGATGGGAGAATTGATCAATGACAAATCTAAAAAGCACTGCTTAAAAATATTAGAAATAAATATCCACTTAAAGGGATTGAGTAAGCTGCATAGTGGCATATAGTATTTAAAAGTTATGTTGAGGAAGATTTTTATGTTATGACAAATGTTCATGACTCAGACAGCACGTATAGTGTGGTTTTACTTCTATTTAAAAATATGATAATGTAAGGGGAAAAAAGAGACTGGAAGAATATCCACAAAAATACAAATAATATTTATCCCTGGTTGATGAGATTTGTTTTAAAATTAACCATTTACCTATAATTTTAAATTTTAACAATAAAATTTTAACATTTTTTTTTAGAAAATAAAAAAGTTTTATCTGTAATATCAGACTAAGAAATGAAGACATACTAAGGTTAACAGAGTTGACGTCATGACATACTTAGGTCTGGAAAGCTATGGATAATTAATCCCTATCCTATCCAACCTGCCCTTCTCTGCTTACATACCAGAGGAGCTCTGGTGCAAGCCCTCCTGACTATAGTGTCCAGCCAACAGAACTACGATTACCTCTCATTAGTCCTCAATGTCTTTTTTTTTTTTTTGTCTTTTTCTCTGGGCTAGGAATTGTGTACTGGTGCATGGTTCTTTCTCAGGAAGAGGTTCTTTTCTTTAATGTGTTTCTTTTTACTTTTTTTCTTTTTCTTCTTCACAGATAGCTCCTCTTCTACCAGTAGTACTTTTTCTTCCTCTTTCTCCTCCTCTTCCACTTTAATTTTAATGTTGGCTTTTTTGTTTTCAGTCATTTCATCCTCTTTATCTACCTGTTCTGAGTTTTTTAACAGGTTGGCAGTGTAGAGTCACCAAAGGGATCAGAAGTCTTCACTTTTGTTTTCAAATTTTTCTGTTTTTGCTAATGCCTTTCCTGTTCTGCTTATTTTTCTTATCCCTATATCTTCCAAGCTTCTCAGTCTGGCCTCTACTTTGGCTCTGTTCTCAACTCCCATTTCAGAACTGAAATCCTTCCTGAAAGTATCACAATGAATAGCCAAAATGGTTTTGGCTGCCAGCATTTGAAAAAATCTTTCCTTTGTATTTGGGATATGCCTGGCCTACAAGGGAGGCATGATAAATAAGACCATATTTAGGGGTATGCTGACTAGACTTGAGGGCTCTGAAAAGCACTTCTTTTGCTCTAAGAATCTGAACTGTAGAAGCTACATGCTTGGCCAAATTCAAAAGAGAAAGAATCTGCAGGAAGAGTCAGCTGTGCTCCAACTAACTTGCCAACCACGACTGTAACACTGGGTGCAATGGCCATCATTCGATTTTGGAGATACTCATACAGCTGGGTTCTATATTCAGAGATTTCAGTCACTTGGGTGCAAAGATGTAGAATATTGTAAGTATCTTCTTCAGAAACCTCTCTTCCCATACATATCTCTACAACTACTATTACTTCAGGTTCAGCTTCCTCTGACAATTCAGAAAGCACAGCAGAGGCATAGTTCTTCCTACCTCCAACTTTCTGTAAACATTTACAGTATGTCAAAATATCTGAAATAATTTTTCCTAATTCTGGGAAATGCCAGCCATACTGCTCTCTACAACGCATACTGTAGTTAATTCTTTATCTAAATCATCTAACAAGGAAATTGCCTCAACAATCATTGTATCCACTTTATCAGTGCTAAATTTCAAACTGTATTGAGACAGGCTGTGGGCCAATCCAAGACGCATGGCTGCCATTTCACATGGTTGTACCCCAGGGATCAATCCATCCATCTATGATTGGATTCCCCTAATAAGCTCATTAACAACAGGACATGGATGCAGCGGAGATTCAGCTTTTCCTTTATGACTCCTCCTAGTTTAGCATCAGCTACAGCTAGAGGTTCATGGGCTTCTTTTACTATTTTCTTCAGAACTATCTTCAGCTGCTTATTGATTTTGTCCTCCATTAGAGCTATGAATGCTGCTAATGCTTCTGCTATATCCTGAAATTTCTCAAAATGTTTTAGCTTTACTATTTTATTTGCTTTCTCTGGAGTTTCAAATTCTTTCAACAACTATGAACCTCTTGAAGTTTCTTCTCATTTAGAACTTTAGAGATGGCATAGCCAACAGACGTTTCAAATAGCACCAACATGAGGAGGCCGAGTTTAGGGGCGGTGTAGTCTGCCACGAGCTCATACACCAGTACACAGAGGGCACTTCTGTAGCCACAAACGGGCCAGTAAGATCTCAGCTAACCAAGTACCAATGCACACACTTTCCCACAAAGAATCAGATCACATTGCCTAAACATTCTGACCCTAACTGCATGCAGAATGCAAATGCATGCTTGACCTTCTCCAAGGATTCTTAAAGTAACATTTTAAAAGCATTGCCAATTTCTATTTTGAGGTCTGTTACTAAATAAGTAAAAAACTCATTTCTGTAGAGTAACACTATGACTTACTTGAAAATACTGATGAGTCTAGGAAAAACAGGTGACAAAGTAGACAATAATCCATGTTAGGAAACATTAGAGTAAAAAGTAGATATGTAGAAAAAGTCCACGGACTCTTTAGTATATTATTTTAGGAAAGGACATAAGAACAATTAAGAATCAAGATAACTGATTCAGAAAGTAAGACCAAGAAATTAGGAGGTAAGACTAAGATAATTATATATCTTTTCTATGACGGTTTTTATTTGCCTGTTTTCACCTGAATTTTTATCTATGGAAACAATTCAAAATGTGTTTCTCTTAGTCAAATCCTCTCCTTTTCTAGCTACAATCTTTAAATTTTTTTTTTTAATCTCAGAAATAAAAGTTGGAGGCAATTCCCATGTGTGTATTTTGTTCTTGTACTGGGGATTGAACGCAGGGAGTTCTATGCTATATCTCCAACCATTTATTTTTTTAAAAAATTTGAGACAGAGCCTCACTATGTAGCCCAGACTGGCCTCGAATTTGTTGTGATCCTCCTACCTCAGCCTCCCAAGTACTGGGATTACAGATTGCCACCACACCTGGCTACTGACCTCAATTTTTTTTTTTTTTTTTTTCAGTACCGGGGAATCAAACTCAGGACCTTGTGCTTATGAGGCAGCCAAGGTGCCACTGAGTTAAATCCTGGGCCTGACCTTGAATTTTTGATCCTCCCTCCTCAGCCTCTCAAGCAGCTGAGATTGCAGGTAGGTACCACCATACCCAGTATACTTCTACTGTATTTGTTTAAACCACTGGACAAATTGAGATCACTTCCTACCAAAAGACAGCATTATACTTATATAGTTATTTTTGAAAAGATGACAAAATTATTTGCAGATAAATATGTTGATATTCTTGAAGAGAAACAACTAAAAATTCTTTAGCAAGTATTAAAAGTAGCTAATAGAAAAAATACATTTAAAAAGATCAACATCTTTCCTATATATATGTAATAATTGGTTAGAAAGTAAAGACAAATTAAAGGACAAATAAGTAAAGACAAATTATAACTCACAGTAGCAAAACAGACACAAACTTTGGCCTACAAAAACCCTAATATTAATGTCCCAATTTGACTTCACTGTGATAGCCATGGCTCTTTGCAAGTGAGAACCTGATGTAAGGAGTACAGTTAGTTAGCTGACAGCCTCCAGCTGCAGCCTTCAGGGTCTGCCACCCTGTTCACACTCCCACTGGGGAGCTCCTCACCAATGACTCAAGTGTGGCAGAGTCACTGTGTCGAACCCTGGACTTCTCTTCAGTAATCTTTGCACCAAAGATTTATACTGGGTTGACTAAGACTTTCTGAGTCTCTTTCTGCCCAATTAACTCCCTTTTCTTCTCTGCTTTCATAGACTAAGCCACAGAGGGTTCTAATGTAGGCACCTATTCTCTTTCCAATCTCTTTATTTTTGTTAAGTGCTGCCTCAATAAATTTCTTGCACTTCAAACTCCATTTTGATGTCTGCTTACTGAAGAACCTGAACTAACACAGCTGGTATTGGAAGTGGTCTGGGAAGAAGACAATGAGAAGGAATTTGGGCGCTGGATCACTTATCAGCCAATTTTTATCATTTGTGTTGTGCTTATATGATATCCCAAGGTCCTGATAGTTTTTTTGTTTTCTTTTGTTTTCGGTGTTGGCTACTGAACTCCTGGCCTCACACATACTAGCACATGCTCTATCACTGAGTCGACCCCCATCCCCACATGTTTTCACTATCATTACTTTGCTAGATGTTCTGTTGATTCA